GTACCCGAGACCCAGCGTCGCGAACCGCTCCAATCCTCTTGCTTAATCTTCTTCTTTGCGCGTCTCCTTGTCATTTTAGTCCCCTCAGTAATAGCGCGCAGCTAATGTGCACGTCGTATCCCCGGCGCGTTCCCCCAACCTCCACCTGAAGCTCGCCCTTCCACGAGCCGCGACCAGCGCAGCGCAGCCTTCTAACACGACACAAACACTGCCCATCATGGCTTTTCAAATGGCGCCCGCGACGCCGCAGCGACCTACTCCCGGCGCTTTTGTCAACACGCCGGCTCCAAACCGACCTGGCTTTGCACGGAGAGGCTCCATGTCGCAACCACAGTCGCAGCAACAGCAGCAACAGCAAGTGCTGCCTGCACCCCCAGCAGAGAGTCCCATCGATCGCGCATCGCGGACTATAAACAGCATGCTGGATAGAGACAACAGATTTCCAGCCCTCGAGGCATACATTGGACGTGAGTAGCTGGCAGCAGCAGAACAGGCTAGTCGAGATGCTAATGAAATGGTCCAGAGGGCATCTCTGGTGAATATGAGATACCGAGTGGTCCGGCATGGGCGCCCTTTCAAAAACTGCGGTCGTATAAGCTCCCCGAGGCCGTCTTCGAGCAGGTGGACCACACGCAAATGTCGACGAGCATGGGCCTGTTCGCTGAGATCAACCACGCCTGGGTTGTAGTTGATAACCAGGTCTATCTTTGGGACTACACGCACCCGAACCCCGAGCTCGTTGGTTTTGAAGAGCAACCCAGCAACATTACCTGTGTGAAGCTGGTCAAGCCGCGTGCCGGTGTCTTCGTGCCCTCCATCGAATACCTCCTTGTCGTCGCAACCGTGTCGGACATTTTTCTGATTGCTGTAGAGTGTCAACGGGGGTCCGAGGGAGTGCACGGCATCACAATGTACCGGACAGGATTGTCTACATCAGTCAGGAAGATCAATGTGACTGCAATCGCTGGTTCAGATACGACAGGGCGCATCTTCTTTGGTGATGGACAAACAGAGGACGTATACGAGCTCAACTACCAACAAGAGGACAAGTGGTTCTCCAGCAAATGCAGCAAGACCAACCATGTTACCACTTCTATCGGCCTACCGGCACTGCCATTCTATGGGACGACGCGACAAGCTGGTATCCAGCAAATGGCCATTGATGACACCCGGAACGTTCTCTACACGCTCTCCACCAACGGAACCATCAAGGTCTACTATATGCGCGCGCCAAATGTTTTGGAGAGCGCATTGACTCGAACACGCACACAGATTGAGACCATGTGTGGGCACATTGTACGACCGACAGGCGTGCTGGACAAGATGCAGATTGTCAGTTTGAGTCCCATTTCTAGCACAGAGGCGGACAATCTCTCTCTAATGGCAATCACATCGTCAGGCTGCAGATTGTATCTGAGCACAACGTCTGGAGGACAATGGAGCGCAAACAACATAAGCGCGCCAAGCAGTATGCAATTACGGCACATTCGATTCCCGCCAAACGACGGTCAGCCCTCGGCCCAGAGCAATTCCACCCAAGTACAGCCATACCAAGGAGGCACAGCAGTCGGTTTTGAATCAAGATGGCTGAGAGAAACTAAACTTGGAATTAGATACCCCCCTGGTGCCTTCTTCTCTTTCGTCCTTAGGTCGCCAAATGACCCGAACCATCACATGTTTGTTTCCGCGCCCCACTCCGGACTACTAGGTCAAAGGGAAAGCTCAGAACCTCCGCGATACACCGAAACTGGCCTGTTTACCGAACTCGTAGGAAGAGTGCAGGATATCGGCCTGGTGTCCGAACCATTCTCGGCAAGGAACGAACCTCTAGGCTTTGGCAACGAGCTCGCTACCCAGTTTGACAAGCCGCTGTGCGAATATGCTATCATCACATCGAACGGTATCGAAACTGTTCGACGCAGAAGACTGGTGGACATTTTTGCTTCGATTGTCAAGAGCGGAGGTCCCGAGGGCGCCGAAGCCGATATTCGTAAGCTGGCAAAGCAATATGGTCTGGCCGAAACTTCAGCCACAGCTTTGGCTGTTGCTTGTGGTCAAGGTTCAGATGTTGGACCGGATTCAAGAATCGCCAAAGTCACTGATCCCGAAGTGCTTGATTTTGCTCGTAGAGTGTTCATTGAGTTTGGCGGCAAGGCGCATCTCACCGAGAGTGCGACTGTAGAAGGCTTGAGCGTAGAGAACGTCCGCGCGTCACCACGTCACGATGGTATTGCCATGTACGTTGCTCGCATTGTTCGATCGATCTGGAATACTCCCATCATCACAGAGACCGCCACCCCAACTGGACCGGCTCTTACCTCGACTCACAAGATCACCAAGTTGCAGGAGGTACAGCGTTGTTTGGCCCAACTTCAGGAATTCTTGGAATCGAACAAGTCATTCATCGAAGGATTGGCTGGCCCAGAGGCTTTGGGACGTGCAACATCACGACAAGAAGAGGTCGAGCTCCAAGGCGAGAACAGAGCGCTCACTAGCCTGTTGCAAATGGTTAACAACATTGTCGAGGGCATCTCTTTTGTTCTTGTGCTCTTCGAGGAGCGTTTGGAGGATATTCTGGTCCTGCTAGCAGATCCCCAACTCCAAACAAGAGTTCGTCAACTCACTTTCCAGGGTCTCTTCTCCATCAAAGAGGGTAGGGAAATTGCCAGGGAGTTGGTCAAGGCTATTGTTAACCGCAACATTGCTAAGGGTTCAAATGTTGAGTCAGTTGCTGAGGCCCTACGAAGGAAGTGTGGCAGCTTCTGTAGTTCAGATGACGTGGTCATCTTCAAGGCTCAGGAGAGCTTGAAGAAGGCTGCTGACATGGGTGCAAATGCTGAGCGTGGACGTATGTTGCTCAATGACAGCTTGAGATTGTTCGAACAAGTGGCAAAGAGCCTGAGCTACGAGAACTTGGCCGCCACTGTTGATCAGTATATCCAGCTCGAGTTCTATGCTGGTAAGTTGAGTAGATCTGTACATTTTTGACTTGCTCTAACACACAACTTAGGTGCCATCAGACTAGCCCTCAAGGTTGCTCAAGAGTGGGACCGAGGTAACAAGGCCTTGTCTTGGGTACGTGACTCCCGTGATCACGTCGGCGATGCGAGCGACCCACGACGTCACTTTTATGAACAGCGCGCTTCTTGTTACACGCTCGTTTGCAATGTGATCGAGGCTGTCGATCATGCTTTCAACACCCAAGGGCCTGTGCCCGATGGTGTTATTTCCCAGGTCACTCGTCGCAAACACGAAGCGTACGAGCAGATCAACAACTCAGATGACGAAGTCTTCCAAAACTATCTGTACGACTGGTACATGCAAAATGGATGGGCTGAGCGATTGCTGGAGATCAACTCTCCGTTCGTAGTCGACTATCTGCGCCAGAGCTCTGACACGAACCTAGCTCACGCGGATCTGCTGTGGCGCTACTACGCTCATTACAATGACTACCTCAGTGCGGCGGAGACACAATTCCAGCTTGCGAAGAGCACTCTACCTCTGACACTAGAAAAGAGAATAGAATACCTGTCCCGAGCCAAGGCGAATGCATCGACGCGTATGACTGGGTTTTCAGAAACAGGAGTACGCAACCGCCAGACCAGGCAAGAATTGCTGCGAAACATTAGCGATCATCTTGATATTGCCAACATCCAAGACGATGTGCTGCAGCGTATCAAGGGCGACGAGCGACTTGTCGGGAAGCGGAGGGAAGACGTCATTGAGCATCTCAATGGCCAAATCCATCCTCTTGATGAGGTGAGTTTCTTTTGGTATATGAAAGATGAGTTTACTGATATATCCTAGCTCTACCATGATTACGCCGACCAAGCAGGTTACTACGATATCTGCCTCCTCATTTACCATGCTGCCGATTACCGTAGCGTACCGGATATTCGCTCAACGTGGACCAACCTGATTGACCAAACCCACCGGAACGCTGTTGCCGACCGTCAGGCCGCGCCTTGGGAGATTGTCTCACTGAAAGTCCAGGATCTTGGCCACCGCACCAACCTCAACGACAACGTGTTCCCTGTGAATATTGTTTTGCAGCTAGTCCTGCAGTATGACTTGGAGTTTTATGTCCATGACGCCAACGCGCCCAACGCTCAGAACTTGGCGCTGAATGCTAACCTTACGTGGCCGATTGACGTTTTCCTCAAGTTGAACGCGCCGTTCGAAAGTCTGGTCGCTACGCTCGAGGCACTGTGGTATGCGCAAGAACCCCCCTTCGCAGGCCGCAACCGCAAGCTGCTCGTTAAGTGGATCATTTACCTCGTCGAGCAGTGGGCCACCGTCAGCCGGCGAACAGGCGCGCTTTTCGGTGGACCTGAGAACGCAATTGGATTGGCTGATGTTATGCGCATCATCCTGGGCAGCGATGTTCTCGGACGAGATATGGATGATCAGTCATGGATTCAGAGGGCGCGCGATATCAACGCTGTTGTCGAGGAAGCTGCTCGCTAAATGTCTATATGGCGGAGGAAATGCAGTTGGAAGGTTGCAAACATATACGGGAACGATGATTGTATATTTGGGGTTTTTTGTGCGTTACCATTCTTGCAGCGCGAGGCGTTGAATAGGTGTATCATCAGTATAGGGAGGGGGATACTGGCGTCAAAAGCATGAGTGTGGTTATAGCCAGATTTTTCTCAGGACATAAAGAAGAGGTCGGCAGAATCACAATCCAAGCTAACTCATTTTTGTCTGAATCAAAAATCTCATAATTGGATGGTAACAGTGGTTTGAAGTCGTGAATGCTAGTGATGAGAATGTAAGAGCGCATCGGACATAAGTAGCTCGCTCCACCCTAATCCCCGCCAAAGCCACTTTCCCCAAACATCATTACCGTACTCCACAATCCCCAACAACAACAACACTCGTTACAGCAGCTCTCCTCAGCTCTAACCTCGCCCACACACAATGTGAACCCAACCTCCCCTTTCTCTCAAGCATAATCAAAACTCAACCCCACCTCGCCGCAAACACCGTCGAAAACAATGCCCATCTGCATCTCCTGCCGCACCCCCGTCCGCACGCTCTACACGACCTACTCCAAAGCCGACGACCGAGCCCTCGGAAAAGGCGTCCGCCTAACACAATGCCCGCACTGCAAGAAATTCGCCGACAAATACGTCGAACACGACTTCGTCGTCTTATTCATTGACCTCGTGCTCATCAAAGCTGAGGTGTACCGGCATTTACTATTTAATCGGTTGGAGAGGGGTGATGATAGGTTCGACGTTAGTTCTTCCCTATCCCTGATATTCCTTCGTGTCCATGCGTACATATATACGATCTTGAGGGAAGTAGTAAACGTTGATAATGGAGTTGTATGCTAATATAGAGGGTGGCAACCAGCGTTCCATCCTTCGACTAGGCATCCTGCTCCTCCTCTTCGACGTCTACCTCACATGGGCGCGCATCGAGAAGATTCCGCTGCCTGCTGATTCGCCCCTCTTATCCCCTTTTACAGCACCCCCGAACGCGTCGGCGCTGGGGTCCCTGCATAGCGGTGTTACGAATGCGATGGTGCTCCAGGCGTATCCGCTGGGTCTCCAGTATCTGTTTTTTCTGGGCCTCGTCACGCTGTCGACGCTGGCGTTTCACTTGCCGATTCGTCTGCTTTGCGCGTATAATCCTGCCGGCTTGCCGGGTGTGCTGAGGAGGCTATGGCAGAGGTGTATTGCGTATTTTCCGAATCCGACGCCGCTGTCGACGGCGCTGCTCGTGTCGTCTTGTACGAAGCTTTTTCCTATACTACTTATTGTCTGGGAATACGATTTGCCGAGTTCGGCGACGGCGGTGAGTTGCGCGGTTATTGTGAATAATATTGCAGCGCTGGAGATCTTGATGGATTGTGGGTATTTTAGAGCGGGGATCCTGGTGGGTGTTGGGGCGGGAATGAGAATGCTTGTGGGATGGTCGATACTGCGGGCAGCTGGGCTAGGGACAGGGTGGGAAGGATATTTGAGTGAATGGACGGTAGCTAGCACGCTCTGGGGTTGGGCAAGCAATGCGATTAGTTCGTCTTGACATAAAGGGCACGAGCCGGAAATGCATGTGTCGGTGATGTTCAAGCAATGATATGATACCCCATTTGATATTCGTACACGCCGAAAAGCAAAAAAAGAAGAAGTATTCCGTAATGCGCCAAACCAAATGTGCAAATGCGCGCGAGATTCCACATGTTCAGCATCAACCGTGTATGTCGAGCTCCTTTCGGCACCATTCCTCAGCATAAAGCTCGTTCTTGTACAACGCAGCCTCTCAGCATACGCTGATACTCCTGATTGCCCGCTCCAGCTTATCTTGAGCCACGGTACTCCCTCATACGTGTGATCGTGCACACATATTACCGTTTAGCGTCCCCCGTTCAACTCTGGTCGCAGGTCGTTTCGTACGGGCGAAATGAGTGGATGAAGCTGTGCAAGGAAAGTAATAGCCCACATGATGTACATGGCAGCGGCAGAAAGCACAAGAGTAGATCGCCAAACCCTGTTCGCAGCCAAGTTAGCCAAAGGTATCCTTTTCTCCCCATCTTGCCTTCCGCCCGCGGCCCCGCCACCGATGCTCCTGTTTGCTGTAACTAGCTTTCTCGCTCTCAAGTCATCTTCTCAGAAGCAGCAGTATACGTGGCGCACGTCTCGCCATCATATGCAAAGTGTACGCGCTTCGTCCCCGGTGTGCCGCCGCGCAGCTTCCTCTCATTATCGTCTTGGTCGTCGACGGCAGCAGCAGCACCGAGATTCTGCGACGAGACTTTGGTGCGCAGACAGGGCTTGGATGGCGTCGAGGCCGTCTTGGACGAGGGGATGGTGCGGTAAACGTACGTCTGGTTTTCGCCCTTTGGCGCTAGAACCCAGGCTGCGGCGCAGAAGATGACGACAACGATGAGGCCGATGATGGGGGCCCAGCTGCTTGTATTAGTTTTTTCCTGTTCTTGCTTGAATAGGATGGGTCGGGGTTGGGTGGTATATACCCGTTCGCCATTGTTGGATGTGTTTGGTTGGGGATGCGCGTGGGTTGTCTGTTCCTTGTATGGAGGTGACGCGATGGGTTATCGACGCGAAACGGTATGGATTTAGGTCGTTGGAGGGCTGCGTGCGACAACGAGCTGGCGACGGCGTTGATGGCTTCGGTGTGGAGTCGTATGTGAGCTTGCAGCTTGGGGAGCTACGATGACGCCGGCCTTCAAGCCTCGGGAGTGCTTGGCGCACTAGCCTTATCCGTGCACGTGCATGTTGTAGTGGTGGTTGTACTGTCTTGTCACCTGCTAAATGCACCTTTGGTTAAGTTCGCACTCGACTATTCAGTATTGGAGCTGTATAGGTGTTTGGTAGGCATGTTGGTTGTCTAAGAGGTAGGCAACGTCCGGTCGTTTTTTGCACCATGGTAGTTCACCGGAAACACTATGGTTGGCTGACACTCCCATTGCTTCATTTTACACTTAGAACAAGGCCCGGGGCATTACCATTGCGGAGACATTATCTGTAGATCGTGTAACCATCTGTTGTAGATCAATTTTGGTTCACGCAAGAAACTTGCACCTACCACATCCCTCGCGAATGGTCTGCAATTCTTGTCGAATCATGATTGAGCTGCTGAGGTTTGCTTCAGTTTCACACACCCTGGGCGTAGATAAGGCAATCTCGTTTCAACATGGCATGCGTTCTCTCACCATGTTTCTTTGGTTGCCCCAAGATCAGTCTTCCGCCTACATAGGGCAAGGATCGAACTGATCTTCCGGCGTCGCCTCATTTCGCTTACGTAGCGCTTCTGTGCCTTGCATGACCATGTGTACTTAGTGTACATACACCTATGTATCATCAGCCACGTATGTGAGTGGGTCCCATGTTTTAGTTGTTTCTTTACCTTTCAGTCCCATCTACTCTCTATATTCGTATGTTTTATTATTCCTTAGCCATCGCTCCGCCGACCGGCTTATCTTCAGAGATGACACAACAAGGCGGTGTAGCAACTGCAGATGCATGCAACCTGCAGAATTCACACCTCAGATGTGTGCTACGTTCTGCATTATCATCCGACTCCTTCGGATCCTCTGAAGGGCGTGAATTTCAACTTTTGGAAAATGCTACAAGTTATCGGGAATTGCACAGTGGGTAAGAATACCGGCCGGACTATTTCGTCAGACACGACAGCTCACAGAACTTGTGGGGAAGATGAACAGCTAATGAATCACCGTGTTGGCAACTAAAGCTCCAGACTTTTTGGCTTGCCTTAGTGGAAACTTAGACTGAGCCACATTGTGCATAACACCTGGCGATCGTATTCTTTTCCTTGATCTTGTAGCCGTCCAATGAATTCACCGGGCAAAATTACAGCGCGGTTTGTTGCAGGGATCGAGGATTTCCCGTTTCGCAGTAGGATCAAACAGCCATATCCTGTTTGAAACTGGGTGGTGCTACAACATCGCTTACTAGATATAAATACTGCCAACACTCTCACTCGGGGCTTACAGGTATTAACGTATTCCCACTTCGGCAACTTTCTCACATATGAGGTTCCTTTGCAGCCTGTCAGTCCTCCGAATGTCGGGTATGCTGCATCTAATAAGTCCGGGTTACTTTACACTGCATAAGTTCTCTATTCAGTAACCTGTACGTCAGTGCTCGTTCTTGGCAGTAACACGTATGCTACCTAGAAATTCCAGGTTCTGCAGAGTGAAGCGAATCTGCAGCTTTGTTTTGACGTTCTTAGTTCTTGTGTGACCGGAATAAATCTATGGTTACCCCAATATAGCGAAGTGATCAGCGAGCCCTCAAAATATTGATCTGCCTACGATATGGGCCATCTCAACACCGATTTGGAAACTGCTCAGAAGGAACCGCCTTGTAAAACGCTTCTGAGTATGGTCATATGCCAGAGGAAGGTCACCATTGTTTCAGAATACGTGGGGCTTACTGACGTGTCCTCAGGATTCCTCGGAGGCACTCGCACACATAGGGCTCAGCCGACTTACCAGCTCGCCGGGTCAGTTCCCCTCACCGTATGCATCTTGAAATGTAGTCGTCATAGGACAGTTGGGGCTATCTAGCCTATTTCGCACTGGCTTGTATTCTTCGTTGAGGGATGGCCTACGTAGGACCAACCGTAATGCGAATTTCCAATATTTAATTGGGAACTGTAGGCCACGTCCTCTGCGGTGTCAAATCTCCACTTCCTGCTTACAAACATTGAAATACCAACTCGAGCAGTCTGCACCTTTCTTCTCGTCACCACTCTCCAAACCAAGAGTTGTCGAATCCATTCTCGGTTTCATGGATGAAGACATAGTTCTCATTGAGAGTGGTCCGTCAATGAGTTTAATTTCGTCAATCATCAAGGGCAATCCGACTGATCCGCAGGGTCCCGAAGCAAAGCCTCGCCGAGAGCCTGCGTGGGATCCTCGTTCTCCCGCCGCCAGATCAACCTGCTTCGACAACTGTGGACATGAGAATTGCGAGCCACCTCGCAGAGCTCCGAGTCCGGCTTCAACAGACAGCTCCATGAGGGTGCATCCTTCAGGCATGAAAGGCGGGTGGCATAGCTCAGAAGTGAAGCGGGATGAGCAATTTGTAGACCACTGGGTGAAAAAAGCAAACAAAGAGCTAGCCAGTACCGATCCAAACCCAGAGCCTCCCCTCACAAAAGAACATAATGATACCGAGAAAAACGGTTTGGGACGATCAGAAAGCCGCAGAGTACCGGAACGTGGTGGGAAACGTATAAGCCCAGTTCAATACCAGGCTATACAACCGCCTCCTCCTCCGCCTGTAAGTTAAATATATCGTTGATGCATCATAGGAACCTAGCTAAATACTCTTTAGTCGGCACCACCTAGTAGCATGCAGCCTATGACCTTCCATACCTCTTTCAATCCATATTCTCAACCATCAGTATGTTCTTATATTGCTTTTACTATCTCCAATTTCTAACCACTTGAAGCCTCCCCCTCCGCCTCCACCACCTCCACCACCTCCACCACCACCTCCTCCTCCTCCACCGCCGCCGCCGCCACCACCACCCCCAGCATCGTTCGACCACCTCCCCTTCATCCCAGAATGGGAAGTCAACACAGCCCACCAATTCATCCCCGCCCGCTCCCTCGGCGTCCCCACAAACGACATCTCAAGCCACATAGTCCGCATCGTACCCTTCCGGCGCAACGTCTTCCTCATGCGCCACCAAGCCTACGCGGCCGACTACCAAGAATACGAGTGGCTCCTGCGGCACGCCGACACGGGAATCTGGTACGAAAAGCCCAGCAAGTCGTCTTCCTCCAAGCCCCCCAAAGTCGACACGGAGCCCTTTTCCACCCCGCAAGACAAAGTCCTCGCCGTGCCCCACGCAAAGCCTCTAAGTCTTGAACTTCCTAAAGTATGGGCCTCGGCTGCGCTGACGACGCTCCTCGACGACGTCACTCGCGGCACCGACGCCGCAAGCTCAACCGGCTCCCAGTACCAAAGCACCAGTCTCGCACAGTCTGACTCCATGCCCCTCGTGTACTGCCTTGTCATCAGCACTTTTGACGCTGACCACACGTTCCCGCAAGAAGTGCATTATAAAGGTCGCCATATTTATAAGCTGATCAAGTGTGGCAGCCGCGAAGCTGCGGTTCTTGAAGCGTTTTATGCGGCGGGTGTGCATGGCTGGAATGTACTGTTTACGTGCGTTATGCGGCTTGGGGAGGAGTTTGAGGGGAAGGCGCAGAAGGTGAGGTTGGTGCAGTTGGCGAGGGGCGAGGGCGAGGGCGAGGGCGAGGTCGAGGGGGGTAGGGTGTTTTATTAAAGTTGGTGAGGAGATGGGAAAAGAATATTAACACACAAAAAAAAACAGTGGCTCGGAGGGCTAGGTACGATCTGATCTAGGTATTTCTTTCTTCTTTACGAATTTCCTTTCTGGATTCTGGTTTAGGTTTTATTATCTCTATCTTTTGTTGTTTCAAATGGCGTTTGGGTTATACGTTGCGAGGTTCTCTCGTATTTGGTCGTCAGAGTCGAAGATGGCATTTTGCTCTCTGGAATGCTTGTGTGGGAACACGGCGTAGGGACAATGTCGGGTTGTAAAAAAAAATGTATCGAAATGACGTTATTTTCTTGAATATTGATTTGACATGTGTACTCCTCTTTTCTATATTAGGTGTTGCAATTTTACCTACCTGCAATCCACAAGGCTTGACGCTTGCAGTGATTTCCTAGCACCGTACTGAATTATTCTAATATCTCCCGCAAGACAAGATAAGTAACTTGGAGCTTAAGTATGCCTGTAAGTACCCTGTCGTATGCTTCATACGATGCGTACGTATCTTTGACACAATATGTGACTGTTAAGCTCACAGCTTCTTCTTAGTCACGGGCTCCAACCCCTTATGCTGTCTCGCAATCATCTGATCCAACCTCGCATAGCAATCCAGCATCATAAAGATACCTACATCTCATTAGCATTACCATCGCCAACATCCCTGCCACGCGCCTCAGACTTACCAGCAACCAAGTACCCACCATACATACCGCCCAACCCCTGCAGCCCCCTCTGCGCCGGAGTCAACTCCTCCCAACTCAGCATCTCGGAAACGCACACCAGCGTCGTTATACTCGTTTCGAGCGCAAAAACCAGCAGGACTAAGGGTACACGCGGGTCATTGCGCAGCAAAGCGGGAATAGCCCAGAGGGTGACGGGGAGATGGTAGATTAGTTCGAGGAAAGTGACGACGGAGAACCAGGTCGGGGTGGCGTAGAAGAAGCGGTCACCATAAGTGGCGACGTACCATTCGCGGACAGTGATCATCCACGTGGGTTTGATGGAGAGGGGGTAGTAGCCTGTCAGGTCGAATGCTGGGTTAGGGTTAGCGGGGTGGTGGCCAGGGGACGATTTGCAAGGAGGTGCATAATGATGATGATTGTGGATGATTTCCTCGGAACAGTGGGGGTTGAGAGGAGGGGTGTGTGGCCATTGTCTTGGGAATTGTTTTGCGGTTGTGCAACGTGAGGAGGTTTATGCGAGCATGTTGACGACAGGGCTGAAGAGAGCATGCAGTGGGTAGTCCGCGGATATTTGATTCGGAAAATGGTAAGATGACAGGAATTTACTTTTTCTACTAGTGTCACGGGGTGATGCTGGTAGGAGATGGCATGGCCATGTGAAGAGAGATGAAATGAATCATGAACTTACCCAGCATGACCGGCAGGTGTATGACGAAAAAGACAAGGTATCCGAGGTCCTTCTTCCTCTGAAAGATAGAAACAGCCATGATTGTTCACGATGCCGGTACTTTGGGTGGATACTCGGTGTTGGTGTGGGTGGGTGCTGGTAATGGCTTGGTGTACGTTGTGGAAGGTACGACGCGTCAGGAAGGAGAAACGCGTGGGGCGCGCAAGGGTCCGTCGACATACTTTTTTTCCCCGTGGGCCCCCGTTTCTCCATCACCCACCCACGTTGCATCTGCATCAACTATATTAAATTCATTTCTGGCGCAAGCGGAGCATTCCCTGGGATTTTCCTTTTCTTCTGCCGCAATTTCCAACGCGGTACCGCTGACTCGGAAGTGCACCGGCACAATTTTAAATGTCCTTGCCTCGTTCACGACACTAGGAGATGGATGGGTCAGGTCGTATTGCTCCACGGAATTCAAGATGAGCAAAAGGGCTAGAAGCACATTCGCATGGTCGTCTCCGAGGCCCGATAGCTGTGTGGCATGGCTGCGAGTGGCAAGTATTGTTGGGTCTAGGTCCTGCTCACATGAACATGTCCTTTTAGCCATTGTTAGGCGTTCGGCCTCCCGCCTCCACCTCCAACAACAGAGAATAACTAAACAAGGCCATGATTGGAAACGCATGGCGCGCGCCTGTCAGGAAGCGGCCCGTGGATTGGATCTGCCATGAGGACCGTTGCACGCCGTCCTCAAAGCTTATTCTGCTCGGCTCAGGATGCTCGGGCTGGCTGCCATTTAGCCTAATTTGCGTCTGGAAGAGGCACTGGCGCTGATCCGAGCGTACGACACCGACATAGGTGGACGGACATTGCGGGGACCGCGGAGGATTACATTGTTGCTAGTGTCCAATTGTCGGCCTTGCTGCCCTCGTCTGACTGCTTGCGAAGCTGCAGCCGAAGAGGCGTTTAGCCTTGGTATGCTTAAAGGGCTAAAGAGCATCTACCGGTCATAGCCTCCCGCCGATCTGGGAATAATTGTGGCATCAATATGCTCCATGCTGCAATGATCCTATCACCGGGATGCTGGATGATATGTGATGTGGGCAGGCCACCTTCTCCGCATCCTACATAAGATGGCGCCTGCACCGCATGTTGGCAAGATTTCCGATAACCTGGGGTAATCTCAGCCATCCTCTCCTCCGCTCTCTCTCAAACACCACCCGCAGTTCCAATACCAACTATCGCTATGGCTGGTGGAGGTGCTCCTACAGCCGGCTTTGATGTCGCGCTGCAAAGGCGTCAAGCCCTCATGGGCAAGAGTGGTCCAGCGGCTCTTGTCAAGAATGGAAAGGTCTTCCTGATTGCCATGTTTGCCTGTCTTGGTGGTGTGCTTTACGGATACAACCAGGGCATGTTCAGTGGCATCTTGCAAATGCCTTCGTTTGAGAAGCGTATGTAGTCACCACTCGGTCATATATGCACTCACACTGACACGCAACAGAAACCGATGGTTATACCGCCAACGCTACCAAGAAGGGATGGCTGACTGCCATTTTGGAACTTGGTGCTTGGTTCGGTGCCATCATGTCCGGATTCATCGCTGAGGCTGCCTCGCGAAAGTACGGCATCTTGATCTCCACCGTTGTATTCATTATCGGTGTCGTCATCCAGATTACTGCCATCGCTGGCGGACACGAGGAAATTCTCGCTGGTCGTTTCATCACGTTCGTCTGCGTAAATTCCATAACTTTGAATATTTGCACTAACAAATCACAGCGGTATGGGTGTCGGTGCTCTCTCCACCATTGTTCCCATGTACAACAGTGAATGCGCGCCTCCGTAAGTAAATCTCGCGTAAATCATATAAACCGCATACTTACTCAGAACAGCGAGGTCCGTGGTGCTCTCGTCGCGCTCCAGCAACTTGCCATCACATTCGGTATTATGGTCAGTTTCTGGATCAACTACGGAACAAACTACATCGGTGGCACCACTCTCCAGACCCAGTCAAACGCAGCATGGCTCGTCCCTATCTGCCTCCAACTCGTCCCAGCGTTCATTCTCCTCATCGGAATGATCTGGATGCCTTTCTCCCCACGTTGGTTGATGCACCACGACCGTGAAGAGGAGGCCCGCAACAACCTCGCTTCTCTCCGCAACCTGCCAACTGACCACGAGCTCATTGAGCTTGAATTCCTCGAAATCAAGGCACAGTCTCTGTTTGAGAAGCGCACTGTTGCCGAGTCTTTCCCTCACCTCCAGGAGCAGACTACCCTGAACATCTTCAAGCTCCAGTTTGTGGCCATTGCCTCTCTTTTCAAGACCAAGGCCATGTTCAAGCGAGTCGTCGTTGCCACCGTCACCATGTTCTTCCAGCAATGGACTGGTATCAACGCTGTACGTATTGATTCTACAGGATTTTTCTGTGCGACTCTGGCTAATTTCCATTCGATAATAGGTTCTCTACTATGCTCCCGTCATTTTCCAGCAGATTGGATTGGTAGGCAACACTACATCCCTCCTCGCTACCGGTGTGGTTGGAATCGTCATGTTCATTGCCAGTAAGTTTTCTTCTCAATCAGATAGAGAAACCACAGTACTAACAAAATTAAAGCAATTCCCGCTGTCTTGTACATTGATCAGCTTGGTCGCAAGCCCGTTCTGGCTGTTGGTGCTCTGGGCATGGCCTTCTCCCATTTCGTCATCGCCGTCATTCTCGCCAAGAACATCAACGATTTCGAAAATCATAGGGCTGCTGGATGGGCTGCAGTCGTCATGGTCTGGCTGTTTGTCATTCATTTCGGATACTCCTGGGGTCCTTGTGCATGGATTCTGATTGCCGGTAAGTCATCTTGCGCCTGAAGCCATTTTGCACACCAAAATTAATTCATTTCTGCAGAAATCTGGCCTCTGTCCACTCGTCCATATGGTACCGCTCTCGGTGGCTCGTCCAACTGGATGAACAACTTCATCATTGGTCAAATCACTCCCGATCTCCTCAAGAGCATCACATACGGAACTTATATCCTGTTCGGTCTCGTCACCACGCTTGGAGCAGCTTTCATCTGGTTCCTCGTCCCCGAGACCAAGCGTCTCACCCTTGAAGAAATGGACACCATCTTCGGCAGCGAGGGAACCGCACTCAAGGACCAGGAGCGCATGGCCGAAATCAACCGCGAGCTCGGTCTCACTGCTCTGTCTGGAGATGGCTCCTCGGGTGTCGAGCACGAGACAAAGATTGTCAGCACCGAGAAGGAAGCCGTATAAATGTTTGTATGATGGACATTGGACTATTATCCCACTCGCTGAAATGAAAATCCTCAACGATAACGAACAATGTTTTTGGTTGGGGTGGGCATGAGAAATGGATATATTATCATGTCTGTTTAGGAAATACTGGGGTTTTCCCAACTATCAATCTTTTAATCACAGTGCCATGAACCACCACCTTCTTCTTGCTCTATATGACTTGGGAAAACGGGGACATGGCAGTATACGTAATAAAGTAACACATTCGTCATCATGACCATCAGTATATCTTTGGACTCCCATAATGAGAATAGAAATACACATGAATTTCGCTGAAACTGTGTGGCTTTTCTTGACTACTAATAGGATCTCTACGGTACAGAAAGCATTACCAGCATTACGAGTCAAAATACTTGTCTTCCGTTCTTCGGGATCCCCATTCAAGTCCAGTTGTTTTCCCAACTTCCCGTCCCTTTCTTTGCATATGGTACACAGTAATCATTTGTTAGCAGACCAAAAAAGTGCACTTGTTAGCTTTTTGCATGAATTCTTCCTCCAATCATATACTTATTGCGGCGGGAGGAGGGGGGATGCGCAATCGGGCCGATTATTCGGGGGCGGGAACTGCGTGCCGGTTTGTTGGTGTAGTCCCACCCAGTTGGATGAAGGATGATGGGTTGCGTGGTAATGGGAATTGGGTGGATTTTTTGTGTAGTTGGCTGCGGTGTTTACGGTAGCGCTTTTCTGGTTTTTTGAGGGTGATGTTTGTGTGGGGTGAAGAGAGTACGTCTAGAAAACAAAATTGCATTAGGTGGTGGCTTAACTGGAGTACACCTAGGTTTTGTTTTTTTGTCTACTTGGTGGTAGTGTAACTAGCTGTGTTTAACAGGCTTGCTATTAGCAAGAGCCTTTTGTGTCGTTAATATCTTGGCATAGTAAATGATAATGTGCAGCGTAGAATAAAGGTCATTTATTGAGTATTTCCGCGTTTTCTTTTTCGACGAAGCCGTACTAAGACTGTAGGGTTCACCTGAATATCAAGGGAGAATCAACGAGGGTTGTATTGTTGTATCTGGCTAAGGGGACTGTTATTTTCTTAATTTCTGCCGGTTGAGGGTGATGTTGAGGTTGCGTGTCGCCTTGACAGTAGCAGGATCGTCTTCGCCAAAGATCTGCCTGCATTCTTCTTGCACTCCTATCTGCATCTCCACCGCTTTTTCTAGATATCCTTGATCGCTATACGTAGCAGCAAGATTATGCCTTGCTCTGATTGTGCAAGGATGGGCTTCACCCGAGTCCTGCATCTGCCTCTCTAGCACCTTCTCCTGCATCTTTGCCGCCGCTTCTAGGTGTCCTTGCTCTCTAAGCGTATTGGCAAGGTTATTCATCGCCCCGATTGTGTTATGATGATCTTCACCTAAGTTCTGCATCTGCTTTTCTAGTACCTTGTTTTGCATCTTTGCTGCCTCTTCTAGTTGTCCTTGCTGTTTAAGTGTGTTGGCAAGGCTATTCATCGCCCAAATTGTGTGAGGGTCATTTTCGCCTAAGATCCGCATCAACTTCTCTAGCACCACCCTCTGCATCTCTGCTTTCTTGTTGACGTTTCTTTGCTCTCTCAGCGTAATGGCAAGATTGGCCATCACATGCGGCATTAGACGAAGCTTGTTGTCTGGTGCACAACCACAGCCCTCTATCGCCTCCATCACAAGCCCAAATGCTGCCTGACTGTACTTGTCCTTCTCTTCTGTCGTAAGCCGTTCGTATCCCCAAGCATGCACTAGCTTGTGCATCACATAGGCCTGCTGCTCATCTTTCCACTGTATGAGTGAGTACTTCTCAAGCTCCTTAAACCAATCTTCGATCTTGTACTTGGTTACTAGCTGCTTCGGCGAAACCAGACGTTTCCAGCTTACACCAGTCTCGTCTGTTTTTTTCACACCACCCTGCTCAGTCTCGGGACAGAATAGTTTAAGGTATATGTCGTCGAAACTTAGGAATGATAGTATTGTTATGAGAACCGAAGCCTCAATACACTGGCTGGAAACGGCAGCATACGACGTCTCCCACGTCGTCAGCACACTCGCGTTGTACTGGTGCAACAGGCTCTCTGGTCTACGCTGAAGCAGCTCCTGTCGTCGCTGCTGGTATTCAGGTAGGTACGCCTTGACGTTGCTCTGTAGCCGCGGCGTCGATCCCACGTATGTGGCAGCAAGCGTGACAGCCAGTGCTAGACACCCAAGCTTCTTAACAATACGCATTACCTCATCTCTAACAGTCGCATCAAGTTGTGGTATGAATGCATACTTCTGGAACAGCTCAACTGCCTGCCCTGCCTCCATCTCGCCCACGTGCACCCCCTTCAGACGCGATATACCGCTCGCCCTGCTGCTACGAGTTGTGATGATAACATCAAGAGATGATGCACTGGGGATAAAGTGCCTGATATCGATGTAGCCGTCTACCTCTGCGTCCTCAATTGTATCGGCGCCGTCAAACACCATCAGCCATCGCCCTTGCTGACGCGCGAACCAGCTCTTCACTCCAGTCACGGCATGCTCTACACTGATCGTCGTCTCCAAATATGCCCCAGCGGGTGTGTGCAACACAAGCAGCGTCTGGTACAGGCGTACAAAGTCGCGCTCCAGTGACTCTTTACGCCCGGCCTCGATCCAGAACGTCGCATCGTACTCTTCGCGATGTTTGTGCATGTAGTCTAGCACCAGTTGCGTCTTGCCTGCACCACCTAGCCCCCACACCGCGAGCATCTTAGTGCTGTTGTCTGTAGCAACGCGGGCGAGTTGCATGTGTATCTGGTCGTGCAGGCTGCTTCGTAGGACGAACGCTCTGACGGGCTCGAACGCAGCATGCGCAAAGTGGCCCTCGAAATCGGGTCGAGTCGCCGCTGAAGAGCCTTCGTGGTGTGAGCATGGAATTTCTGCGAGGTGCTAGTAGCGTTAGAGGCCGACTTACTGGAGGGGCCGGAAAAGTTGAACCAAAGGTTACCCTGGAAGACATTTGCTCTACCTTTAGCGCGAGTATTACCAAAACGGGAACCTCCCTGGCGGATATGCTCTTCGCTAGATCGCCTGCTCTCCGGCTGCGCAGGCGGATATCGTAGCGACATAAAGAGATTCAGATTAGGAGCTATGAACGAAATCACAAGAATTCGATTACTTATGTGCCAGAGAGTCATGGCATAGCTGTTGCCTGTCCTAAGTTCGCTCAGCCGCGAAATAACAGGCGGGAGCAGGTTCCGGGCACTGTGCCACTTGCACAGCCCGGGCTGGGAGGGCAGTAATTGGCAGCCGTCGCCCCCGTGGCCACAGATGACAATTTGCCTGAAGGCCTTGGAATCGGCTGCGGAGCTCTGCAGACTTGTGTGATAGCTACTGGAGCTGTGGTCTAGCTCCTCTTTCCGATCAGAGGCTCTCATGCTCATCTGAAGTACTATTATGTGCTTGCCTCGTCGCTCGACTCGATTGCATCACAGGGATCGATACTACCCAAACCAGACGACAAGAACAAACTTTGAATTCTACCTATTTTTATTATATAGTTGGGCGTCCATTTGCAGAATTCCCCGTGATAATGCTTCCATTGTCGTTGGAAACAATAGCAGCATGGTATTCTGATCCATCCTGCTTGACCTTTCCTGACTTAATACCATCCGCGCGATTGCCTGACACAATCGAACCTTTTCCAGTGGCCGTCATAGTTCCTTTATGCGTCGAAGATCCCTGAGTGAGTTCAAAATCGGGCGACTGAGCTGATTTTTGAGCTAACTGGGGTGATGATATATCGCCATCGGTAGGGGATGGTATATCGCCATCGGTACTGTGTCCGTTGGTGAGATGTGGAGGCGAAGCTACTATAACACTTACCGAGTTCCATTGCTTCGCTTCTGACCAGAACCACCGAGAGGTTTACGCGTAGAGTCGGACGACATTTTCAGGGACAATCGTGTTGAATCGTGATGTAATTGAGGCTGGATGATATATGGAAACCGACATCAAGCAATACACTCCGACATCTTATATACATATTTGCGGTCAGACTTTGTAATTCCGCTCAAACGGACGCTGCACAAATGAACGTTGAGGCTTCATACAAAGATGATGAAGTGGACGCCATCAGTCTCCATGACCCGTCCTTGATGCAGCTTACCATGAGCTAATAGGACAACCCAGAAAGATTGCAGAAGGAGGGTGTTGAGTAGACAGGCGTGTAAACATATCGCTGGTCATTTCTCTCTTGCTGGAACGCCACAACTTCAGCCTTGCAGCCAGATTTCAGCCTTGCGACTAAAGTCCAGCCTTGCAACTAAAGTACGGCCTTACAACTAAGGTTCAGCCTTGCAGCATAAGTTCAACCTCCAACAGATAGTGACGTGGCAGACGTAGAATGGCCAAGATTCCATGTTACACAGAATCCTTCGAGAGGAGGCAAGTCAGTGTTGGGTCAGATGATCCTTCTTTGAATTAACACCAAAGAACTTCCAATTAACCAAGTGATTATTAGCAAATTCATAGAAAGGGAGGTCATGCCAAGTTTTCAAAAGCAATATCGTCAGTAAAATTCGTATGAGTGCCTTGGTACTCATTCGTTATGCTTCAGAAGGCTCGGAGGTTGAAATTACACAGCGGATTGGTCAACGTAGCACCTGCGCTTGAGTGACGCTATATTGGCGAACGATTGGGGACATCTGACGGATCGATGAGCAATAGGCTTATTCTAGCAGTACTCTATGCAAGCTAAAAAAACACAAGCAGTAGGTTGTGGCCTGATTATTAAAATCTTTCGGGATGGCTGGCACTTCATATATACTTATATGTTGAGGCTCTGCCAACTTTGCTGCAGCGATAGCCTCGGCACCCTTTCTGATTTCACACCCCCACTATCTGTAAATGTCATTTGCTGCACTCCAGCCATGCGTCTACTAGAGGTTGAGAACCAAAACGACTTTAGCGTAACAAGAGATCTTCTTGACGAAGTGCCTCCGTATGCGATACTGTCGCATACTTGGGAGGCTGACGAGGAAGAAGTTACCTTGCAAGACATAGTGACAGGCACTGGTAAAGACAAAGCAGGGTATAGAAAGACCCAGTTCTGCGGAAAGCAGGCTGCTAGCGATGGCCTTCGCTACTTCTGGGTGGACTCTTGTTGCATCGATAGATCGAATTACACGGAACTCTCAGAAGCGATCAACTCAATGTTCCGCTGGTATAAGCACGCAACTAAATGCTACGTATACCTTGCCGACGTCTCAGCCAATACTTGCAGCCAGACCAGTCAATCGCCCGAGAAGACATGGGAGCCCGAATTTCGAAACAGCAGATGGTTTACTAGAGGTTGGACACTGCAGGAGCTTCTTGCTTCCTCAGAGGTTGAGTTCTTCTCTCGCGAAGGCACCAAACTCGGGACTAAGAAATCGCTGGAGCAACAAATCCATGAAATAACGGGCATTCCTATCCAAGCACTGGCAGGAAGTCCCTTGTCTGACTTCAGGATTGAAGAAAGACTCTCTTGGGCAGCGAAGCGCCAGACTAAACGTGAGGAGGATGCGGCGTATAGCCTACTCGGCCTCTTTGACCTCCACATTCCGCTCATCTATGGCGAAGGGAAAAGCAACGCTATAACACGGCTATTGCACGAAATTGAAAGACGTAGGAAGGGAGCAGAAGAACTATGCGTAGCTCATTCCTCAGGGAACGGCCAATGGCAATGGCTTACTGCTGCATCTACGGAGATACGTCGATGGTTTGGAGGCGTAGGCGGCTGGACACTATCACGGCCTCCAGCCACTAACGCGTCCCGTGCCGCTACTACTACCGAAACAGCATACCGAATGCCTCAGAGCATCACACAGAATGGTTCCGAGTATCGAGGCGCTATCACAGTTTCCGGTGGAACAGTATTTCAAGGGAACTATGTTGGACTTGGTCCAGGTATGCTGGGCAACCCAAGGTGACTTGTTAGATTCTATAATCATCGAATATTCCAACACTGCTCGTGACTGAATAATAGCAACTCAAGTGGCAGTGCACGCTCTGCACGTACTAATCAATAGCATCACCAAAACGGTCGTACTTTTCCTTATCACATCGCAGCAGCATGCACTGCTGATTGGCACATAAACCGAAAAAATGGGGATCATAATGTCACAACACTCTAAACTGAAGTACAGTAGTAAACAGGTGGAGGTAAGGGTATGGTAGGCTCTCACGTGATACCTACCCTACCTCTACCTCTACCCAACCCTTAACCATCCATCACGCCCCCCCCCCTTCTCACCAACGACACCACACTCGCATACATAGAAGTACACATTTCCATCCAACCCTTTCGTACCTCCTTACGTAACTCCTCTTCCTCCCCTCTAACCAACATATTCCGAGACGTATCGACGAACCATTTCTTGTACATATCTTGAATGAGTATCTCTTATAGTACCTACATCCTTACCTTCACCAATAACCCCCTGTACACTCCTATGATACTCATATACCAACCCATTTTACTCGTTAAACCGTCTATCTATCTTTTTTGCATTTCCCACCTTCCGTGTTCCCGTGCTAGTATGTAAATGAATACGGTAAGTCTTTGGAAGAAGTATGTTTGTTGAGGGTTTGGAGGAAAATTCTTCTTTCGGTTAATAAGGGGGGGAAGGGTAGGCGGGAAGGGTGGTTGGTTTTGTTTGGGGTAATGATAGGTATTGTATACAATCCTGCATACCGAGAAGACGCAAAGCAAGTTGAATACGAAGCCAGACATTAAAAACAAACTTTTTTCATTTTCCACATCTCGTATAAACTGTCGTTCACAACCCCAACACTTGTTTCAAACTCTGCCCAAACCCCTCTTGCTCCACACCCCTCCCAATAAGCACCAACTTCCCCTCTGTACTCCCCTCCGCAGCATCACCCTCCAACTCATTAGTGTCGTAGATACTCCGCACACCCTGCGTCAGAAGCACTTTCCCCCCTTCAACCGGCGCCCGTCCCTTCAGCCTGTGAATTTCAAACGGCTTATGAGGGACATCGTTGGGTAGCGTCTCCTCCCACAGCAGTGTACGCAGAAAGAAATCGTACTTGTCTACTTGCTCACGGGATAAAGCGGGGAAGGTGATTGTCGAAGTAGCAATGGATGGATCGAGGTGGGAGTGGCCTTTTGATGCAAAAGTTAGATCTGCCTCTGTGACTTGATCGTAAGCGTGGAGGTCGAGGACGAGGCCTTGGAGGTCTGGGATTTGGCTTTTTGTTGTTGTTTTGATGCGGGCTAGGCCGTTTATCGAGCGGACGCGGTTGGTTACTTGGGCGAGTTCGTCGGGGGTGACGAGGTCGGTTTTGTTGATTATGACGACGTCTGCGTGGCTGATTTGGAGGTGGGCGGTTGTGAGTAAGGGACCGTGGTGATCGTCGTGGGCATTCTTTTGCGACTGGAGTTTTTCTTCGTCGTCGCCGAGGCCTTCGTCGAGGCTTTTGAGCACGTTTTTGGCGTCGACGAGGGTGACGATGCCGTCGAGGTAGATGCTGCTGCCGAGGCCGTCGTCGAGCCAGAACATGGGGGCAATGTTACCTGGATCCGCGAGACCGGTGGTTTCGAGGAGGATGTAGTCAAAGAGGCCGGATTGCTCCATTAGGTTTTCGATTGCAGCGACGCCGATGTCTTTTACGGAGCAGCATATGCAGCCGTTTGCTAGTGGGACAAAGGGGGCTGGTTGGGCGGATGTGGAGTTTGCGTCAGAGACGGTGAGTTGCTTCTCAATGTCGATTGCTATTCTCATGTTAGTCAAGAGCCTGAGTGATGAAGAGGGAATACGTACAATCACCAAACTCGTTGAGAATAACAGCAATTCTCTTTCCATGTTCCTCGGTCAAAATGTAGTTGAGTAAAGTCGTTTTGCCAGCGCCAAGATATCCAGTGACTATAGTGATGGGAACTTTCTTCTGTGGTGCATCATCTGAACCGCCCACAAGTGTTGGAACTTCATCATCTTGGTCATTCGAGACTTTGGTGGTGGTTTCTGGTTCAATGAGACTTGGCACCTCGTCGTCGGATGCATCGGCGCTCATGGTGACTCAGGCAATGGTAGATAGCAAGTAGGGATTGAGTAAGCTGTTGGAAGGTTATGAGTATATATATCTGGGGCACGTTAGAAAATCTTTCAGATGTTCAATTACCAGAATTGTACATGTCAGGGTCTATGTAAAAACACCAGAGCACAGGCGCATTGACCCAAGGTGAGAGACAGGTCATGTGAATGCAAGGAATTTGCAAATGGGGGAGAGATAGCACTGTACAGGAAGCGTGGTACTTACCTAGATGTATCTTGAAAATTAGTATGCTCCCTAATGTCAGCGTATAGACAAAAGACTCGAAGAACGCACCCCAGACTGTGTGCAAGCCAATAGACTGAGCAATGACGTCGTGCGGAGGGGAGCAAAAGTGTGACCCGCAAAGACTCTAGCGCGGTCGCGTACTGGGGCAACATCCCTGCACATGTGCCCTGCATCGGCAGCCAGCTCCAGATAGACCGAAAGTCAACAACACGCTACACCCCACCCCAAGGTCTTATCTGCGTCGATTGCGAGGCCATTCTCCAAGTCCCCGCTGCTCAATTGCTCTCAGCAGTATCGCCATGACGTCGCCCGCTTCGCCCCGTCTTCCCAGTCCGCCACCTATCCCTGAAGACCAGCTGTCGCCGATTGCAGCCTCATCCGACCAGCAGACGCCCTTCAGCAACCTCGACCATGTTGCTGAGCGAAGGATACGGCCGGGGACCAAGGCGGCAGACATGGCAGAGGGCCCTCCGCTTGTAGAACTTGCAGAGGTGTGCATGGCCGCTTGCAAGATGCAAAGGCGCATGGCTAACATTGGGCCAGATTGATTCAGCGTTCCAACTCACGGAGCACCTCAAGGCGCTGCACAACTTCCTCACGCACCCGATAGGAGCAAACGGCACCGTGCCTGTAGATCGAGAAATGGCCCTCAAGATTGCACATGCGCCGGAGAATGTGGACAGGACGCTGTGGCTCTACGAACTATGCCGCTTCCTCATACAAAAGGTCAACTCGATTATAACCGCCCTGTTTGCAGATAGCCCGCCATGCTCGTCGTTGACATGCCCGGAAATGCGTGCGTCGGAATGGCAGTATCTGTGCGCGGTTCACGACCCACCAAAGTCATGTTGCGCCATTGACTACTGCTGTCATACGCTCGACTGGGCGGCCAATACCCTCACATCGCCAAAGCACTTTCCATCACGCCTCGCGCTGGGGACAGATCAGTCGACGCAGCACTCACAGACACGGCAGCTCACCAACATTTTCAGGCGTGTGTATAGGATATTTGCACATGCATGGTACTCTCACCGGGATGTTTTCTGGCACGTCGAGGGACGCACGGGGTTATACATTTTTTACAAGACAGTCTGCGATGTGTATGGCTTGGTGCCAGAGGACAACTACACCATACCCCCAGAGGCAGAGGGTATTGATCTCAACTCAGAGACCAAACCAGCAGCGCCGCCTCTGATTTTGAAGCGTGAGCCTTCGGACTCGGGATCTCAAATCTCGGACAACACGCTGGCTGGGGCCATGTCTGATAACTCACTCTCGACTGCTGGCACTACAAAGCGACATAGGCATTCGCCATCGGTAGGAGCAACAATCGTGCACACTGTGGTAGAAGAGAATGAAGAGGAAGAGGAGCAACCAGACCTCAACCTCAACGCCCGGCCTGTGACGCAAATCTTTGAGCCCGCAACACCAGAGGAAGGCGGAGAGGGCGATGACGACGATGAGGATGAAGAAGAGGACGATGATGAAGAAGAAGGTGAAGACAGTGACGGAGACATCACCACGATTGAAGACGGTGACGAGGAGGGTGACGAATCCGGTGCTAAGAGTGCCAAGACGGGAGCATCAGAGAGCAAAAAGGATGACAAAGAGGAAACAGTGAGCACTGGGAATGAAAAGGCCGGGGATCCTGCACCTGCAGATGATAATGAGGCTTCGGGCGAGAGCGCCACAGAGGCAGCCAAGAGTGACGGGACCGAGGCCTCGAGCGAGGCAGCTGCGGGGAAGGAAGGTCAAGCAGAGTCTACAGCCACTGGGGATGACGACGACAAGGCGACTACTGCAAAATCAGGAGACAATGCAGAGGCTGGTGGTGCTGCAAAGGCGAGTGACAAGGAGGACGAGGCCAACCCGCAAGCGGCAGAGTAGGAACTTGTCGAGGGTGAAGTGGAGTGATTAGATGGACGCGGCTATTACCATACCATGTATTATTTTCTTTTTCCTTTAGCGAAAAAAGTGGTAAGACACGACGACTTGGCGGGGTCGATCCGAGAGGCCTGTCGTGGATCTAGTGTCAATGTATGATGTATAATGCAGTATACACACACAAGTACGTACAGACATTGGTCACGCGTGCCATGTGTGGTCTTGTGAAGGCGGGTTGACGTCAGACAGTCGTGTGCTCCAGTGCAAGCTCACGATGGGGAGAGCGTGAGAGGAGGAGAAGACTCATCAGAAGCTGGCGTATGGATTTGCATGCGTACGTGACTGTGGTCTGGCAAGTTGACCCGACGTGCTTGTTAGGTTGTCGCCGGCGCAAATAGCGTCCGCGGGGCGAAGAGAGCTTATCGCTAGCGTGTGCCGTGGAAATGGAAAGGACGGCAACTACGACATAAGTTGATGAAGATGTAAGTATAGCCAAGGGATCATGAGTAAGTAAGAATAGGAGCCGGTGGGACGGGGGGGGACATTGCAGGAGGACGAGAGGATGCAGCTCATGAAACGCGGAGGATTGCGAAAAGTAATGCGTGCAAATCTGTCGGGAGCTGCAAACGGTGACGCGAACTTTGACTAGCCGTTGGGGGGAAAGGGCTGTTGTTTTCTTCTTTCTTTGCAGTTGCGCTCTCTGATGTCAGGTCAGATGCACATGTATGCAATGTACATATGCATGCATACACAGTGCACAGAGAGTGTGTGAGTGATTGGCGCTACCAAACTTTTTTTTTTCAAGAGTTTCCAGGTCTGGCGGGCGAGAGGGTTTGGACTGGCAAACGCAGACAGCATCGAATGCGGCGAGAGGAGCGGAATGGACAGCGGCCGAGATTCTGGACGGCGCGCATGCAGGTGGTGATGGTGGTGGTGGAGTGACGACCGGGCCGCGCCTTATTGGCAGGTGCGCAGGGCCCGGGCGCGGCACTAGCTGGTTGGGTAAACTGCTGGCCAATGAGAGCAGGCGAGGGCGGGAGGCGCTGGATGATGAGGTGTGGAAATTAGTATTGGTCGGGCTTTCTGCACAGTATTTGCAAGCCAGCGAGCGGGCGAGTCCGAGTGAGAAAGTAAGTGAGAGAATTAGTGACAATGGGTGGATGATGCTGCTGCTGCTGCTTCTGCTTCTGGTACTTGCTACTACAACAGCCGAGGGATTTAATGTAAACAGACGAGATTTGATCATCTGAAATGCACGATGCGACTCATGGAATTGGGTGCAAGTGTGGCCATTTGCATTTACACGGAATAGTAGCTCCAGCACCTCGGAGAAAGCGTTCGTTCAGTGCAGCCCCCACGCGCGCCGCCGCCAATCCCGCGCAAGAGCGAGGGCCCGTCGCCTTTCTCCACGTTGTCCTACTGCAGGGTGGTGATATTAGAGCCTCGTTTGTCCCAGTTGTGCCGGCGGCCCTGTCGCAGTCCATGCTAGGTTGTAGTACATAGATACCACCGTCTACACTACACAGTACACAGATCTTCGCATCGGTTGATTGCGCCAGGCAGTCAGTGGTGGTGGTGGTCGTGTCCAGGGGCCGGGAGAGGGGGGGCCCTGCATCTACCCCTCACCTCTTCAGCCAGGCGTGCACCCCAATTCGAGATATTATCCACTGCCACGGCACATGGTCTTCTTATCGCGGCTACTGCGCAATCACTTGGTCAAGTCGCCTGAGCCTGAGCGTCCGTTGCTCGGCAGCCTGAGAGCAGCGGCAGCCCACCAGCTTACATACTGCTCCCGCCATTCCCCATTGCCCATCCCATCCTCTCCTACCCGCGCCCGTCCTGCTGCTCCCACACGACCTGCGCACTTGGACTTGCTTTTCCCCACGCTCCAGGGTGCACACTTTGTCCAACCCCCCGCACACAACCCACTCGACGCCTCTCTACAGCGCCCGTCCCTGCAAGTCATTGCCCAGACCATCGGTGATTTACGAGACGCTCTCGCCCGCCCCTCCAGGCGGCTCCCCGTAGTCCTACACACCCACATACTACTGCTACCCACGCACGCACGCACGCACGCGCGCGCACACACACTTGCCACACCACCACCACTACCACTACCCTTGATTAGTACCTGAATCTACTCGACACCCCTCTTGTTCATTTCTCCACAACTCCCTCCCAAGAAATACCCCCTCGATTTTCTCGTGCATCTGCATTCCACGCAGCGTGATTTCCAAAAACAGCATGCTCGCCCACCACCCAGCGTCTCTTGACTAACATCAACATCCATTGTTTGCCAACAACCCGACACGCGAGTCGTCCCGCCACCGGCCCGCCCAACCACGCGCACATCCTGCTAAAGCCCGCGACACACGACCTTGGCCCCGATTTCCCTTCCCCCGCTGGCTATGACGGCGCAAATCCTCCACATGCATCCTGCGCACGCGTCGGATTTGGGAAAGATCCAGACGCATTTTGGAGACAAAATGGACAGCGCTGTCGGTGCTGCCAGCGAGCCCCCGACCCCCGCCTCGCCTGACAGCGGCGAAGCCCGCGGCCGTCGACGCGACAGGGACGACGATGGCGACACGGGCGATGGCGAGGGCGACGGCCATGGCTCCTCGAGAAAGAGGCGGCGCAGCAGAAAGGGCCTCGACAAGAAGTTTGAGTGCCCCCACGAGGGCTGTGGCAAGAGTTACTCCCGCGCAGAGCATTTGTACCGCCACCAACTGAACCGTGAGTTGCATCATTTATCATCATGTCCTGGCAGAGCTGCAACCGGCAGCACATTTGAGTGTCCATGGAAACAGAATTACTTGGAGTAGCCATGATGCTAATGCTGTGCGCAGACAACCCAAAGCAAATATACCACTGCGATTTCCCCGACTGCCATCGCTCCTTTGTGCGACAAGACCTCTGCGCGCGCCACAAGGAAAGACACACGGCCCGGGGTTCCCAATTGCTGCGCAAAGACACTTTCAACATGCATAACCTAAACCCCATCGTGACTGCTGCATTGGGAGGAAAGAGCGCACCGCCTCCCAAAGCGCTGAGCATGAAGAGCCAAGGACCACATGGCCTGCAATCTCCAGCTTCTGCATCTTCCAACGGAGGACCCGGCGCGCAAATGTCTCCGCCAAACTTCCAGTCGCCAACCCCAACCACAGCAACGCATAGCAGGCAAGACTCGCTGCAAAGAACGGGGAGCGATGATGCCTACCGAGGGAGCTCGGAGGCCAAGCCTTATGATATGCAGGCTCAGAATTCAGGGAACTTTGCACCCCCACCCCGTCCGGCCGCATTGGGTAATTACGGGGGAGGCCGGACGCCTCTCCACAACTCCCCACATGTGGGTAATGGCAGCTTCACACGGCCCGAGCTACGCGCGCAGACGTCAAACGTGAGTTCATACAGCTCAACGTCACCCTACAGTTCAACCGTCACTCCATCGCCATATACCCCCTCGGGCTCGTCGACCAGCTATCAAAACAGCGCAAGTGCGTATCAATCAGTACAAAATTTCCCTGCGTTCTCCTCCTTACCACCACCAGAATACCCACAATCCACTGGCACCCCTGCGTCTCGAGAACATGAAAACCAATACTACAATGGCTCGTCCGCACAGACTCCCGTCAATGGCGTCGATTCTTCAGCTCAGATGGACAACCGCATGCAGGGTGTATCGGACGCCATGATGGACCAGAACCCTGCATACTCCATACCAATGTTTGGTAGCGCTGGATACAGTCGATCACCATTCGCCATGGCAGACGACTTTGCTGCATGGCTGTTCAACGACAACCAGTTTAACCCAAGAGGTGGATCGCCCATGGACTACCCTGGCGGAGTCAGCTCTACAGGGGGTGCATCAAGTCAAATTGGTCTTCAAGCTCCGTACTTCAACTATGATCCCTCGGTGGCTGGCTATCTGAACAACCCTGCACCGCCTTCCCACCCCATGGCTGTTCACAGCATCTTGGACACCACCCTTCCAGAATCAGCCCTGTCAGAAGAGAAGCGCAAAGACCTCATTGACTTGATTCATCTCCGTTTCAACGAGACTGACCATGCACCGGTCAAGAAGCAAAAAGAGGAAATTATGGATGGCGACAAGGACGATAGCCGTCACGTCCTGAGTCTTCACATGATGCAGACGTACATTAGCTCGTACTGGGTTCACTTCCACCCGCAGCTGCCGATACTGCACAAGCCAACCTTTAACGCGAGTACTTGCCCAGACCTCTTGCTGCTCGCTATCATGTGTCTCGGAGCATCTTGTCTGGAGAAGACGTACGGCCGGGAAACGACACAAGCGTGTGCTGAGCTTGCCAACTTCTTTGCCTGGCACTTGCGCTGGGAGATGTTTATGGATGCCGATTTCCGCCCACCCGCCAAACTTTGGATCTTCCAGGGGCTGCTCCTACTCGAGAGCTTTGAAAAGATGTACTCGACACGCCCACTGCACGAAAGAGCGCATATCCACCATGCGACGACATTGACGCTGATGAGGCGAGGAAGCTCGTTGATTGGCCGTTCGGCCATGGACTCACCTCCCAGCGTCAAGGACGGCAAAAGCAACGGAATTGCAAACACGCCAGACGAATGGTGGAACCACTGGATCACCAACGAGGCTACTCGGAGAGCTGCCTTTGCGGCCTTCGTCATGGACAGCATCCACGCCACCATGTTTGGTCACAGCGCTGTTATGGTCGCTCACGAGATGCGTCTTCCTTTGCCCTGTGACGAAGCCTTGTGGTCTGCGACGAGCAGTTCCGAAGTGGGTCGGGTTGAGCAGACTCTAACATCAAACGGGATCAAGCCGATGTCGTTCCTTGACGGCCTTAAGAAGACACTCAATGGACAGTCGGTCCGCACAAACTCGTTTGGGCGCACCATCCTCATGGCCGGCCTGCTGAGTGTATCATGGCACATGAATCAGCGAGATTTGCAGGTCAGCTCTCTTGGTGTGACGACAGCGTTGGGTGGGCGCGATAAATGGCGAGGTTCCCTCACTCGGGCGTTCGACTTCTGGAAGCAGGACTTTGACAACTCACTCAACCGATCGGACGAGTCGTCTTCCTCCAACTCACACAACCATTCTCGGGGTATCGACGACGATATTGTCTTCGAGTCACGCACTGTCCTCCACCACCTGGCGCACATGGCTATGCACGTGGATATTGTCGATTGCCAAATTTACGCTGGAGCACCCAGACTGCTCGGCAGGTCAATAACGCCACAAGACTACAATGGCGCGCAACGCCGGATGAAGGATGTATGGGCCCCCACCGCCCGAGCCCGGGACGCCACCTTTTACGCTCTTCGCTTCCTGTCTAGCGTCATGGTTGCTGGGGATCATAGTCTGAATCCCAGCACCCCAGCAACTGCTGGCATCTCTTACTCTGCACGCGACGATTACCTCCTCAATCGACCATGGGTGCTGTACTTTGCCACATTGATTGTGTGGTCGTACGGATTCGCACTCGACGGGCCAGTCAAGGAACCTTATCAGCTCCCTACTTACGACGACAAGGTCAGAGACATGGTCTTGTATCTCAACCGTGTTGGTGGAGTCAGGTCGCCCGAGGACTTGAGCAAGGTCACCAACCGCAATGCCTGTCTGGGATTGCTCATCATCATGAGGGACATGTTCAAGAAGACAAGATGGGAGCTGCTGCACGAGGCAAGCAACTTGCTGAACAAGTGCATTGAGATGCTCATTCCAGGTGCAACCGTGGTATAAACGCATGGATGGATGATGATATTATTCTTTTGCTTCTCAAGACCGCAACATTGGATCTGACCAGCAAATCTAGGGGGTCAGGTATTATGTTTATCACGAGGTTATGGTATGCCATGTATATGCTATTTAAGGTCTGTCTTTTCTGCTGTATTTGCATTCTAGCGAAGGAGTGTTGTTTTATATGGTCTTTTTAATATTCATTTTAAGGCAGCACATGGCTATTTGGGGGATGGAATGTGGGAGGGATACTGCTGAGCTACTTGCTTTATACCCCGGACTGGTGTGTGCTCATGCGGCATGAGAATAAATCTCTGCTTTCGACTATATGAGGAGTATTTGAATCTGGACTCTGTTTGAATTAAAGTGACATGATGAATAGAATGCATGTACTAACTCATGTAATTACTGTGTTTGCCATTTTTTGAAGGTGTATGGGGTTAGCCACTGGAGTCTCTGCACGTGAGAGCGCGGCAGCGCGTCGGACAGGGCTTTCGCGTCGTTAAATGTACGTCGCCACAGCCACTAGGACTGTAAAAGTACAATATCCAACACATCTCGTACCATCTACAAACAAGCAAGTAAATGCTTGAGAAGAATCCTTCGTGAGCATAGCAAAAGCACTGTCCTTGCGCCATTGCGTCATCGATTCTTGAGCGTAGTTGTGATCAGTGCTGTTGGCTAACCAGAACACAACAATGCGACGACTATGCCTCGAATGAAGGCTGCCACTGTTTTGGACCAGAGAGTAAGGAGGGGGAAACGGAAAAACTGCGAAGACGACGAGGCCCAGGCCACGACTACGACGAGCGTCCCTACAAAGACACACGACGGAGGGAAGAAGCCGCGGCGAGCCCCAAAGAAAGCTGGTGCTGATAAACCGCCCCTCGTGCGCCATGGATCGTCCACGCTTGTCGAAACCTCGATACCATGGCCGGAGCACTTTACAAAGCTTGCTCAAGTACATCGCGCGGTAAACCTAGTATATACTTTTCTATGCACGCGCAAACATCTAGCGACGACGCTGGACAATCTCAAGAGCACGGTCGAGGGCAACATACAACGCGAGCTGTTGATTGAGGATGTGGCTCAAATCACGGCATTGATCCCAAAGGCGATCAACTTTGCGTACGTGGACGAGGCAATGCTGCAGATCAATTTGATGGGCTCGGAAGACAATATGCACGGGAGGCGCACAACCGACTTCGCCATACTCGGGCCTGAGCCAGAAAAGGGCGAACATAAGGAGGTGTTGCTCTTTGAGTTCATCGATGGCGATCTGAGGCGTCAGGTTCAGCATAAGAAGACCGGGGAGCCTACCAACGCCACGACGAAGCTGCGCCATGAAGAACTCAAGATGCCGGTGTTTAGCCAGAAGCAGATGATGAATCTGAT